TAACATTTAATAAACACAAATAGAATGCTCAAGTTTAATTTAAATAAAAGTTCTTCGAAAATTTTATTAGAGCCTTTCTAAATTAAGCTAAAAAAGCAAAACATCACTTTCCTTATTCTTACTGTATTTTAATCCTTAAATAAAGCTAAAGTCATTTGCAACAGCCTAAGCCTACAGCTAGACCTTATTTCATGTACAATGTACACATATATATAATCATGCTACATTTGAACTCATACGAGTATTTTCTGCTCATACATACGTGTGACATTATATGTGTGTAGATACATATACTTTTTCATGTAGTTTTTGTTTCTATTTTGTATACTTAATGTAGGCGTCAAAAGAGCGATTCCATATCGCCTTTGCTGTCGCTCATGTTATTCTAACAATAATTTCAACAGCTGAAATCTTGATTTCTTTTTTATATCATCTTAATGCTTTTAACAGTATTTCCATCGCAAGTTCCTTCCTCTTTGTCCCACTCTTAATTTTTATTATCGAGTAAAATCTCGTGTGTAAAACTTGATGCAAATATACGTTGTTGTATGCATTTCACAAGCTATTCTGTTTTCTTCTCTTCCACTTTTGCGAAATAATCTCGTTATTCTTATAGATTTTGCAAATGTTAAATCTCTACTAAAGAAATTCATAATAAATTTTAAACTTTTATCTTTCGTAGGTAAATAATTTCATTAGGTTTGTACAAATATTATCATCTTTTCATGATTAATACACATTTGTACTTGCCTATTTTTCCAAAACTATAATTAATGTAAATAGATTGGCTTCGAAATTTATTGATACTATAAGTACCGATTATGTCATTGAACAAAAATATATGCACATACTTAGTTGATATTTGAATATTTTATTATACCGCATTTGCGATGTAATTTAGAAAATCAATGTAATATAAATATACGTATATAAGTATATATAGCTAATTTATTAATGAATCATCAATTAGTATTATTGGTATGGAAAATATATAATTAAATTTGAGTCGTTATTTCTATAATTAAATGTTTAGTATAATGTGCATAGCGTTACCGTATCACGTATAAGTAATAAGATAATTTTTACATTTAAATTAAAATTAATGTACGTTTCCTTGTAATATTAAAAAATGATAAAAAATAACAACTCGTTTAGACGCTACAGCTATGACATTTGTACTATTCCACCGAAATACACAATGTGTTTTTAGATTCTCATCGCTACTAACTGAGAGGCCAGGTCACAAGAGCAGTTACATCTCAATAAAATATTAAGTGTGCACACGAGATACAAACGGGAGTCTTAATGCCTTTACGCTCGTAATCTTTAAACCCTAGCGCATTTGCATGAGGAATCACTTACCTCCGTAATAATTTATCCAATATAGTAGTTCGAAGCGTTACCTGCAATAACACGAATAAATCAGAGGCGATTGATTCTGAATTTCTACACTGCCTCTTCTCGACAACCTTGATGACTCATAATTTATAACGCATATGGATCGAACCATTACCAATGACACATTTTACATTTTTCTTCAACAAATGCGCAAAATTAACTCCAAAGTCTACATGAAATCAGGGAAATTGAAGAAGCTTATAATTTGATAGCACAAGTTTCATTTTTAGAATATCTATTACAAAGAGTTTTTAAACTTTCTTAATGCAATGATAAATAATGATCACAAATTTGTCCAATTCTACATTACAAATAGCATATTTCTTCTGTGACAAAATAATTAAGATTTACAGAAATACACATTTTGTTTTTTTTATCCGAAAACCAAGCAAAATGCATACAGATTCTGTCTGTTTCTTTCTAAAAATATTCTTCGCGGAATACGATATAATTTATTTCATCTTTGCACGCAGAATCCTTGATATCGAGAAAACTTTGGCGAGAAACTATTATAATAAAGAGAAGCTATTATAATAAAGAGAAGCTATTATAATAAAGTACGTCTTACATACCATCTTGATCAAAAAGTTCCCGGAATTACCACTAGGTGATGCTCTGAGTCAGCTGATTTGAGTTGTTTTTTTGATTAAGTTGCCACATCTATCATTGACATTTCCACCAAATTTTATCGCCATAGCTTGACATTTGTAAAAGTTACGCCGTCTTGAGTACATCTACCTCTGCACGGTTTTCGATTTTTTACAGTTTTAAAAATGGAGTTGAATTTGCAACATCCGTGGTTTTTTGACTCGATCGAACAGAAAAAATTTGCAGGGAGCCATATCGGGTGAATTCGATGGCTGTTGGATGGTATTCGTTTCGTTCTTGGTCAAAAATTCACGAATGTTGCAAATTCAACTCCATTTTTAAAACTATAAAAAATCGAAAACCGTGCAGAAGTAGATGTACTCAAGACGGCGTAACTTTTACAAATGTCAAGCTATGGCGATAAAATTTGGTGGAAATGTCAATGATAGATGTGGCAACCTAACCTAACCAAAAAAACAGAACTCAAATCAGCTGACTCAGAGCATCACCTGGTGGTAATTCCGGGAACTTTTTGATCAAGGTAGTATATAAGACGTACTTTATTATAATAGCCTGTTATTTTAATTATTATTTGAGAATTAAAAATTTTATTACTTCATTGTTAAATGTACGTGTATGGTTTTCTTGGCCGTTTTTGTAAAATTATATATTAATCTTCTTTTTTTGTAGGATATATAAAAATCTGTTAAATATCTTTATACGCTTTTATCTTTGTAGTAATTCATTGTATAATAATTTGTAAAAAACAAAATAAAATTTGTTACAAAGTCGTTAAATAATCAAATGAAAATATAACTTTGCATATAGAATTTATATCAATTGGTTTGATTTTATTAATCTTTTTCTATTTATTTTATTAAGTTTAAAATAAATATTTAATGCAAAGAAGCAATTTTTAGAGCTGATAATTTATGCGATATAATTACAATTACAAGATTTAGTGTTATCTATTAGTGTTATCTATTAGTTTTTAAAAATTGTTTTAATATTTTTAAAAGTAACTTATTGTTAATTTACTGAATACAATGAGATGGTACTATTGTTCTTCTTAAGGTAACTATTGAAAACAAATGTTTGAATTATAATATTGATTATAATGCGGTCATAATAAAGTTGATTGATGAGAAGGGCTTTTTTTGGAACATAATCGGCTCTATAATCGATTATTTCTAAATTTTTCCAAAAAATTCTATTTTTTTCCTTTTGCAAAGAAACTATTTATATATTGTAAATATTCAATTATAATATACAATCGGTAATAAATGATGCTCTCAAGATTCAAACTCGTACGTTTACTGAAATATTCAATTGTTCGTCAAATTTCTTCCGTTGTTGCAGAATTGTTTTAATATGAATGTATTGTCAGATATAGAAATACAACTGATATGATCAGCTGATTGCAAAACATTTGTTCTAATTTAGGATTTTGCTCTACTTGCTTGAATTTAATTTAACGTTTTTTATCATAAGCGGAATGTGTGTGTGTGTGTGTGTGTGTGTGCGCGCGCGCGCGCGCGCGTGTGCGCTTGTGTGTGTGTGCTCAAAGATTTTTTTAAGAAAGTTTCGCGATTTTAATGCTGGCGGTAAAAATCGAGACGTGTTATTAATCATATTCTTTCCAGCTTATTGAATTCAAAGTTAACAACTGCGCCCTTTCATACCAGTTAATTTTCTTCAATGTTTTTTATTTACTGTCGCGTTCGTTATTTACTATCCTCGTCATTCTCTCTTTCATCTTTTGCTTCCTGCTCTGAAATTGATATTGCATATAAAACTTGATCGTGTGCTAGACAATCGACTACATTGCAAACTAATTGTAAGAGATCAAATACATTACAAGATGTTGCACCGGTTGCAGCTGGCTTCTTATAATTAATAACGAAGAGATTGATCGCACCGCTGTTACAGCTTATCTTGTGCACCCGTTAAAATATATTACCGAATTTATTACCGTCCGCATTGAATCAAAATTGAATCTCTACGTTTAACCTGATAATCCAACCAAATCCGCAAGGACTTGGCAAATTTAAGGACTTCCTAAAATTATATCGTGCTAAATCGTCAATTGCATAATTCATCAAATGTTGTATATTTGACACGAGATCGAGATAGGTCGCCATTTACCTTTCTCACTCTGTCAAACAACGAATAACGAAAAATATTTAATATTATCGTTGTGGAATAGCTTTTTTCGTATCCATATGAAATCTGTATCGTTCCTTTATTCATTTGCATTGAATTTTTTCACAACTCTTGCCATTCTCACAATTATTCAAGTAACTTCTAAGTGATTGCTTAATTTAAATTATTATTAAGCGTTCGGTTAATTTAGACTATTATACTTATAAAGTAATGATTATTTCAGAAACATTTGTAACAAAGTTGCGAAATGAATTCAAGTAGATTTGCCAGTAGCAATATCTCGCAAGGCATATGTCAAATTATCAATCAGATCAGTAGAAATAGGATCGATCGAATCAAAAGCGTCAACGAGAGCAAATTCCAGGAGATAACAAAAAATAAGAAAAGAATTGGAGCCTAAGCCAGAACCGGATCGATCAAGTACGAAGATGGAGTATGCCCAACTGCGAGTCGTCAAAATTAGATCAACTCTTGTTAGAGAGATCGCAGCTAGGGATCCATTTCGGGCTTTTGTCGAGTATCTTTTGTCTTCAATCGCGGATCGCGACATATACCTAAGTCTACGGCTATCTCGAAACAGCGAATACATCACGCCAAGATGCGGAGCATTCTGATTATCATTCGCAAACGTCGCGCTGTGTTACTAGTGTTGGTGCCATAATGACACAATAAAGACGGACTATACAACGATAGCATACGTCTTACGGCGACCTATCGATCTACGAATGGTTGACGACCGCTAATGCGACTTTACAGCGTAAACAACACTCATTATACGACCTGTTTGTCGGACGGTAACGCCGATGGAACTTTTCTGCCCAGTCAGGTACCTGCCAGCTGTGAAAAGGATTTATCGACATGGAGGTGAATCGCTTATATAAATCTATATACTACCAGCACCGGAAGTAAGATGATGGACGCAATTGTTGACGAACTACGCAGTTTGCTGACACCGGCAGAAACGCTCGACGCCATTGCACTTTTACATGCTTCGGGTGTGGGATCTGCAAAGAACTCAAAATTGTAAGTAAAGAGCACAGACTTCTTCTATTACTACACTAGACTCCTAACTCCCCACTTTTCCTTATGTAAAAGAATAAAACCATCACATACAGAAAAGAGATGCCAACAGATGATAGCGTTTCTGTGATTGGTTTAAAAATATATAGAAAATATGCGCAGTATGCAAATGTACTTATTCGGTCCATGTAGATTGTAGTATATACGTTTTGGCAACAGTTAAAAGGATGAGTTAGTGGTCTAGTGTTATAATAGGATGCAATCATCGCTTACTGAGCGCTCAGTGAGCGGTTGTACTGAATGCACTCATAGAAGTCTGCGGTAGAGAGTGAGCACTTCTCTCTCTTATATTCTTAGCTAATTGTAAGCACAATTTTACATACAACGAGTCGAACTTTTAGTCAATGCTGTACCGTTGACGAGATATTATTAAAGACCGTCAACCCCAAATTTTCGTCCTCACAAAAAAAGGGCCCGAAGAAGTAATCGAAGAATGCTGATATTGTCGACAATTGATATAAACATGTGCAATTATTAACATAAATCTTTAACTAATACATTATTAAATTCATGATTTTTTAATTGTACGAATAAAAATGCTTTATAAATAAGTATGCATACTTATAATGTTATAGTATCTTATATATTGTCACAAATTAAATTACAATTTTTTTCTCTATAATTATCAACTCTATTGATAATCAAATCCGGATGATAACATTAAAATCACAGTTTTAAATAAACATCAAATATTATTGAATTTTACGTACATGTATGTACATATGTCTATGAAACTAATAAATCATAAAATTAATACTTTATTATCAATTTCTTACTCTTAATCACTTCAATTTTAAATTTTAGTGAACAGCTTGAACAGGGACGCGAATTCTCGTAAGAATGTTAGTCTTTAATAGTATCTTGTCGGTGGCTGTACAATTTACAGCGAGGATAAAAGGATCCTTTATTTTCATATGAGGAAATTTTTTACGTACCAGGAACACCTTTTAGGCGCGGCAAGAATTCGTTCCAAAATGCACAGGCTGTTGTGCGAGGACCTCTGCCAAAAGCATTCTTCTTTTCCGCGTTCCAAATAAAATACTTTGGATGGTTCCTGGTGTAAGATGGCCACTCAGTTTCGGTTACTGTTGGCATCCTGAAATATATATTAAAAAGTAGGAATATACCGGATCGTAAAATTGCCGGATATCGAGTATCTAATATCCGGACAGAATGTGATATCGGATATTTGATAGGTCAATTATCCGGCCGAATATTTTCTGATGCAATTTCTTTATTTTATTTTAAAAAAAAGAAAAGCAACGTGAAAAGAAAAAGAGAAAAGATGAACTCTTCACGAAGTTTAGTTGAAATATAGCAATCTAATAATTGAATCTTTTAAAAATTACTACCATGAAAAATGTACGATCTCTGTATTTTTCATTTACATTGATTTAAAAAATTTAAAGTTTTAAAAATTGAATTGACATATTTTCATGCTATTCGTTCAATACTAATTTTTCATGCTCCATGTTGTAATAAAAAAAGTAGATTTCAAATATTGCATGTGAAGGCAATATTTGAAATCTACTTTGTTGGTCGCAAACAACAAAGCAAAAAACAAATCCTATATTCATAAAGAGCGATACATTGTAATAACTTTAAACTTTAAAATCAAATTTATCATGCAAAAGTATAGAAAATTCTCTTTTTTGCTATAACTTGATATATAGACGGAGAGACATTTTATACGAAAGTTTAAATAACTTTTTAAGGAACAACGAGCGACGGCTAAAATTTATTCAAGGTCACTCGGGGTCATGACCTTGACAACATATGTCAAGGTCAAGGTCATTGGAGGGTAGTCCCTCTCATACTGCATAATTAATAAATTTACAATATATAATTTATATAAAACTTTATTATGATTTAATTAAATTTAAAACATGCAAAATGCAATTTATAATGCGAGATATTTGATAATATCTCATGTTAATACATATGTACGTGTAAATTAAGAATTGTATTACATACTATAAAATTAGAGATACATTAATTCTACTTCACATTTAATTTTATGCATAAACAGAATCAGAGAATATGATTATAATGTTTGATTTTATAATCTCTTTAATCAACAATTTTTAATAAATTTGAATACTTTTTCCTAATATTCGACTAAATAAGACAATGCTAGAATGTAAGACATAATATGTCTATATATAATATGGGCCTTCTACCATAAGACATTACCTAAACTTTAAGTCTCAACTTTAAAAAACTGATCAATTACAGTCGAATGTGAGAAGAATAATCGACCATGATTGATCTATTTTTTACTTTAAGATTCAAAGTTTAAATAATGGCTTATTATAGAAAACCTATAATATAGTTAAACTGTTTTGATAGATTATAAATCGGAATAATTTTTTTATGTTTTCAAAGCCAATCTTTTCGAAATTAGTATTTTATGTATAAATATAACAATATTTCTCATTAGAAAAATTGAAATATACATATACTATATTTGCTTTCAAATATAATTATTAAAAAATATCGTTGAAAAATTTTAAAAATCGATTCCTGTATGTTTGTCGTAATTCAATGAATAAAAATTTGAAAAATGCCATAAATTCTGTTAATAATTCAAACTATTTTATTAAAAAATGTTTAAGATTATATTTATGGAAAAATTATTTTCTGCTCAGTACGTAACACTAACATTTTCGTGTTGACAAATGAAAATTTAAGTTTGGATGTGCAGCGAGTTTCTGATGAACTTACTCCTTTTCCAAGTTATAATTTGAATTTAAATTAACTTTGTTTCACATCAACAAATTCTCCTCTATATGTTGGCATTCATGTTGTATCACTTACATTTATAATTTCATGTTACATTAGATACATTAGCGTGTACAATTTTTATTAAATATTTTGTTATCTTGATTAAGTATTTAACATATTTATGAACTAATTAAATATTTGTATATAAGTAATATTAATAATACAAATGAGTGAAGGGAAATAATTTATATATGGTGATGTAAAGTATGTATTAAAATAATTTATAAAATTATAAACATGAAATTAATTTTGAACATTAATGCATATATGTATGTGTGATATTGTAGGGTGAACTCAGGTAAGATAGCATATGGTAAAAATGACCATAGGTTGTAATTTCTATGGAAATGGCCATAATATCTCGGAGTTTATCCTACATGTAATAACATAATAGAAACAATTTCTCACTACTCTCTAATCAAACATATATAAAAGTTTAACCTATAAGAAAATAATACATTGAAAGAATAATTGTATTAAATTTTTCTAAGCTTTTTTTCTATTTTTTTCTATTTCAAGAAATTGGCCATCCAAATAAAAACTGACTTTATTTTATTTTTATTTTCTCTCTTTCGATAAGCTATACAACAGTTTTATCGGATTATAATGAAATATTACTGAAGAGAAAATTTAATTATATTTTTATTTAAAGATTAGATTCTTTATATACAATATAATGTATCAAAAAATGCATCAAAATCGGCAATGGTTTATATCAAATCGATATTGAAATTTCTAGCGGACATTGTCAATGTTAAGTTACTTTTATATTTACATGATTTGTGGCCTTAGTGCTTGTAAATTAGTCATCAATGAAGCGACATTGGCATTGTCCTTGACAAAATTAATCCTATCATTCTTTCCATACATTCTTATAATATCCGTGATTTTGTTGGGAATATTACTGCTATTATTGCTACTGTACATACATATATTAGTGGATCACAGGAAGGTTGCAATACTTTTTTTCGATAGGTTTCGTAATGCAATCTACTCACTGAAGCGATTGGTTCTTCTTACTTATGAATCTAATCAGTTACGTTCAAAACCGCTCTACGAACAAAGCTGAGTTTCGAAACTTATTGAAAAAAGTGTTGCAATCTTTCTGTGATCCACTATACACATATATTATGTAGCTAGTAATATTATAATAATGTTATTATTACTGTTACAGTTACAGTAAATTTTTAATATATGATCATTTCTTATAATATTAACGTAATTTTTTTTTATTTATTGCTTCTAATATTATATCATTATTTACTATATCAGAAACTATAAATCTTTGGCATTTCGTCGTAATACCTAATATTCGTAATACTTACCCCGTATATGCAAATCGCGAGAAATAGTGAATCATTCTCAAAGACAGATCTCGTTCATTGTCGGTGTATTCCAAAGATTTATTCAAGGGATGCCCAAAGACATATTCCACTTCGTCACCATGCATCACACCCATCCATTTGCCCCATACATTCGTACTTGTCCTCTGCAACACAGCATATGTTTCATTATTATTTCGACAATTTGACGTTATTACACGTGTGTTCAAGATGATGATACGTTTATCACAGTTTTTCTATTTAATATAGAGATGTAAACATACATATATATCAAACTATTGATTTTACGCAAAAAGAATGATTTTTCTAAAGTATTAAAAAATTTCTGGATATACTGTAAGCCTGAAAATAATTTTGTTGAACTATCAAAATTATTATGTAGAACGCTCAAATTGTTTGCTAGAATGACAAAATTTTTTTCAACATTGCTCATCATATTTGAGTTTCCTACATAATTATTTTGATGAATCAATAAGGTTATTTTTAGATCTTTATTTACTTAAAATTCGCGCGCTTAGGGGCGGTTGAATTTTCCGTTGTATCACATTTGAACGCGCGAACTTTAAGAGTAGTATGATTCAATAATTATAAGAATCAGATAACCATAAGTATCCAAGTTATATCAAGTTATACCAAGTTATATCCAAGTTATACCAAGAATTATCCTGATCGATCGGTGATTTAGCAATTTTATGTTTATTTGTATTATTCAAATAAATGATCTAATTTAACTTATTATTTAATTAAAATATTCAACTGTTCGTAAAAAGTTTATGGATAGCAGCAGTATATGTATATATTATGATAAAAGAATCAAATTCGAATCAAGTGTTCAAAATTGTAATCGTAATCACATATCAAGACATGATTGAATATCAATTTCAGATCGATATGAGTGTACTCTAATTCTGTAATTATGCGACGCGACTTGAAATTGCAATGGCGGAAACAGGCCACGCAGGCGAGCGATAATAAAAAAAAAGGGGAAGCAAGTATTTTCGCGCGAGTCTTCGTTTAACCAGTGGGTAAAACCGTTATTAAGATTACGGCTGGGACGCATGAGTAATGACGTCCTCTTTACTTTCAACGGCGCTTCGGAGAACCGAGCATTACTACCTGATAAATTACCTTCTTCACTAATTGCTCGAGCCTTCGTACAGCGGCATTTTGCTTACGTGCGTTTCATGGCTCAGAGGCTGCAATGAAGATAGAGGGTAGCGCCAAGTGAGGGGACGAAAAAGAGAAAAAGGAAAAAAAGAAGGATAAAGTAAAAAGTGCAAGGCGAAAGGTTGCGAAAAGAATGCTGTAAGAGAAAAAGAAAGAGCGAGCGAGCGAACGAGCGACATAGAGATACAGAGAGAGAGAGAGAGAGAGAGAGAGAGAGAGAGAAGAAGAAAAGATGAATATAAGAGAAAGAGGGAGGAGAGGAAGTAAATGAGACAATGCGAAAAAGTGTTTGTACAAGAAGTGAAAACGAGAAAATGCATAGTGAAAAATAGGAAACGCACGGAAATGAGAAATAGAATAGTTCAGAAGCAAGGTGAAAAAAAAGAAGGGCAGAGCAAATATAGGAAAAGAGAGATATAATCAATGACGTGTGTATTAGATAAAAGTGCTATTTTTCACTTCATGGAAACTTGATTCACAAATTGACGATGGATGCATCGTAGATGTAGACAAATGGAAAAATATTAATAAAAGCCATAATTTAACATGTTTTTACTAAATTATTTGAATGAATTCGAACAAATGATCAATTACGAAATGTTTGATTTTTTTCTTACATTATTTCAACAATTATTTTATTATTAGGTACACACCTGACAGCTAAGATAATTCTGAAATGAATAGTGCATATCAACATTTTTTTTCAATGAATTAAAATTTTTATTTATAACTTCATCTCAACTTTTTTCTATATCATTATTTTAAATTTCTGTAAATTTTTTTCATATTTAAAATTTATAAAGTTTCACATAGATCTTCTCCTCTTTGATTGCATAAAAGTTATGTAAAAATAATGTTAATAAAATGATGTTACAGTATAAGACATATCATATTATTTCAAAATACTTTCTCAATATTTCTAAACTCTGTTTTTGTTAATCTATAATCATACGTAAACTAATTGCAATATTTTCTTAAAATATCTCTACTTTAAAAATATTTTTCTCAATTTTTCAGTATTACAATCTGTTCAGTGTAACGTTCATGTTTCCATCAATAACGCTATGCAAAAAAATTCGTTATTCCCAAGGGAAAAATCTCTTAAAATAGAAATGATATTACAAGTATCTGGATAAAATTTCGATTGTTTGTTTATTTTCTCTTAAAATGCACTTTGTACAACTTTTTTGCTTTTTTTGCGCAACGACTATCGATACGGTCATCGGGGATGCCCAAAAAGATAGAAAACACACGGCGAACACACGAGAGAGCGATACTTCGAGATCGTGTTATCACCAAATTGAATCGTTCTTTATGATTGCCAGATTATGAAAATAAGGAACTTTGAATTTTCAAAAATGATATAGACTAATAGAATATTTATCTATTATCATTTATCTTTGCTCGGTTGAATGTTTTATTCTCTCGGTTAACATTAAAACTACACTACGCAACAAAATTATCGCAACAAAATTTTTCATCGAAATTTTGCTATTTTTCAAATGCGCATAACTCGGTCAATTTTCATCGTATCAAGACGATTTTTTTTCATTTTGTAAGTAATTATTTATACTTTAAGAAAAACTTGATGCGCGAAATTAGGTGCAAGTCGATGCCGCATCTCCATGTTTTAATAAAGCCCAAGCATTTTTTTTCTTAAAAAATTTGATTGTTTGACGCGCTACCTGGATCGCCCCGATTTTTTTTCGAAAATACCACATAGACCATTGTAAAGTGCACTTTTCAACAAACAATTTGAAAAAAAATTCGAGTCTCTACGATTTTTTTTGACCGAATAATACCATTTTGAAGTTATTCGGGCGTTTTTAACGAATACCGCCAGCATTAGCATTACCCGATACGTACCGCGAGGAGGTTGCTGGTCGGACTTTACGCATCATTTTGGCCCTGTAAAAGGCCGATTATGTAAACCATTTGTCAAATTAGGGACCCCATGGCTCATCACTTCCACAGTATTTTCTGAGTCCAAACCCTATTTACCTAATGCCAGAGCGGTCAAGTGTTAGAGGCATTCAATACCGTGTATTGCCACCTCGGCGTCGGATAACCTCTCCTAAATGTTCTTGCATATTAATGCATGCTCTGATTGAATCTTGAGGTATCTCGTGCCAGATTTCATGTAGAACTCTTTCAAGCTCTTGCAGATTAGCAGGAGGCCTCTCCAAGTTACGTAATTTTTAGTAAGAAAATAAAATATCCTGTGCTTTTCTGTATTTTTTTATTAGTACTTACTCTGCATAATAAAATTAATGTTCAATACGGATCCTTCCCTATAATGAGGTTTCGGCATTTGACTCTATCGCGATATTCGTTAAAAACGCCCGAATAACTTCAAAATGGTATTACTCGGTCAAAAAAAATCATCATTACTCAGTTAAAAAAAATCGTAGACTCGAATTTTTTTTCAAATTGTTTGTTGAAAAGTGCACTTTACAATCGTCTATGTGATATTTTCGAAAAAAAATCGGGGCGATCCAGGTAGCGCATCAAACAATCAAATTTTTTAAGAAAAAAAATACTTGGGCCTTATCAAAACATGGAGATGCGGCATCGACTTGCACGTAATTTCCCGCGCGCGCATCAAGTTTTTCTTAAAGTACAGATAATTACCTACAAAATGAAAACAAAATCGTCTTGATACGATGAAAATTGACCGAGTTATGGGCATATGAAAAATAGCAAAATTTCGATGAAAAATTTTGTTGCGATAATTTTGTTGTGTAGTGTATATTTTTCTTTATTAGCCCTATAAGAAAAATTATACTATACATTTTTACATTTTTATCCATTTTCATCCATTGATTTTTTTATTAGCGTAATTAATTTTATTTTACACAGAGAAAGAAAAAGAAAAAGAGAAAAAGTGAGAGATAGAGAGAGGGGGAGGGGATAAAAAGAAAAAGAAAGAGGGAATGAGAGAAAGAGCGCAAACAGCAAAGAGATTATTCGATAAGAACTGAATTGCTCTGATAGTCGAATTCATCTTTTTCGATTACTTTTTACGATTTGACAGTATTTTTGTAACACTCAATCTCTAATTATTAAACTTATTATACTGACATATGAATTCTATTATACGCATGTGAGTAAAGTCACGCTTATTTAAAAAATAAAATTTTGAATCTCTCTCTCTCTATTTTCCAAAAGAAGTATCGTTTATGCTGAATTATACGTCAATTTAATTGACTTAAAAGAGTCTATTATATCATAATGTTAATATTTCTCCATTAGTAAAATCTTATAAAAAAGAAAGAAATTTTATCAGAAATATATGGCATAATAATAATAAGATTAATACAGATCAGATATTCATATAGGATATAGAAAATAAAAGAAATTTACCTAATTAAATTTTATAAAAATAAATAAATAATGTACTTTTATTTAAATAAACTGTATTTATAGATTTTATTTAAAAGTTTATCAGCAAAATATTTAACAAACCTTTAAATATTAAAAATATTTTTAATAGTAAATATGTTTTGAGATTAAAATCTTTACTAGATATATCTATTTGTTTTGGAAAAATCTATTTTAAGGCAACATTCAAATTATATATTTTTCATATTATTTTCTAAAAAGTAAATTCTATTAAAATAGCGCATTCATGATAAAAAAATTAAATTCAATTAAACTTTTATTAATTTTATTTTGAAAATTGTCTCAAATAATTCCTTATTATTGTAACATGATTTTTAAAGCATATTATACAATTTTGTTTATAGCTCTGAATAAGATGTCGATGAAAGACATTTCATAATCGAAATAAACGCAACGAAAAGCTGATGCAGGAATGACGGCAAACGCGACATATTACAACACAGTAGAACGTCCGCGTATGCAGTGTACACAAACTTCTCCCATGTGAGTTTGCATTTCAAATAATTTCGGTGGTCACGAAGAGACGAAACAGTAATTGTACAGCGTCATGAACGTGTACAATTTGCTGCATTCTGGATTTAAACATTACACCCCCATGATGTAATGGAGGATGCATTATCTTCCGGTGTGATAACACCTCGCAAATTGACAAAACGATAAAATAAATCACGCGGACGTGATTTGTGCGTAATTGATAATGTGAATATATGTTGATATTTAGTTATTACTCGCTACCCAAATATTACTTGCACTTGATCATAGCAACGGTAGCACACCGATGATTAATTAATGTTACGAGTGAATTCCGTGGGACTAGGAAACATTAATAACACATTCGTCGGTTACATTAAAACAATTGTTTCCACTTACTTCACGTTATATTTTAGTTCCGCCCAGTAGAGTCTTCTGTTTTTTGGTCTTTCTGTTTTGCTCCCTTAGGTATATTTCTATCACATAAACTTTTTTATTGTATTATATATAAAAGCGATTCAGAATCCAATTTATACAATACCTTTTTGTAATTTCCCAGTTTTGTAAACTGTTCTTTCGGCTTACTTTAGGAGAATAGCGGCACATATTCAGTACAACAATCATGGTGTGCCGAATTATTAATGTTATTAAGTTATTAGTGTATTTTTTAACTTTAATATTCAAGTTGCTTTTGTTTTTGTTTACGGATTTTTAGTTATAAAAAATATTTCAGTCAACACCGATGTCGCGCTTGTTGGGCCAAATATTCCACAATTAATCTTACAAACTCAACTTACTTAAATATATATTTTCTGTATATATTTTATTATTATAAAAAGTAGATAAAGTTTTTAATTTTGTTAATTAAAATATTTAAAAAGAGAGTATTACAAATTAATATTCTTGAGGCTTTCACGGGTGTTACCTATGTGACAATCTTGCGTTTCGCGGGTTTTCTCCGTGTTCAGATCCATTCTTGGAATGCCAACGTT